GTAATTAATGTAATTACTTGCTCCAACGTATAAAAGTATTTACGCGTTATTCGTCAACACTGCGAATTTTTCTATGTCACACCGACTTTGCACTAACACACGTACAAAAATCCTGTGATTGGTTATAATAAAAACATGTCGGATGCGCAGTACGGATCGGCGCGAACGTGAAACAAAAGAGCGAGTGGGCATACTGGTTATACTGTGGTATCGCCGCGGGCGAAGATCCGCCATTTGCAACGCCGCGGAGAGGAAATCGCGTGCGCGCGCGAGTGCGCCACCTTCGGTGTCGCGCCTGTCGAAATTTCCAGAATGCGCGAGAATGCTCCACGGGCCGTCACGCTAGACTCCAGGGACACTTCGCTTCACGGCCCGCGCGGCGACGGCACAGGTCCCGAGACTCGCGGGCGGATATCGGAGCGGCGTTAGTCGGCATTGTTGACTCGGACAGCTGCTCCCGTCGCACGATAAGCCGCCCCGCGCAGCGTCGCCCCGAGACGAGGACGCGGCGACGTTCCACGGAGACGTTGACGCGAGCGAGAGAGACGCGACGCCCCCGACGTCGAGCCCGGAGCGCGCTTTTCCCCGGCAGCCGCGGCCCGCTGGACGACGACTCCTGCGTAAGTACGAAAAATCTCGCCCGCCGACGGACGCGCGAGCGCCTCGGGGTGTCGTTCGGAGAATAGGTTATGTTAACGCGGGCGAGTAAGACTGGAGCTTTCTAGGTTACGAGGCGCACGCTCGGCTCACCGCCCTCGGCACCGCCGGTCTGACACTCGTCTCGAGCTCGCCCAGGTTTTGTGCCTCCTCGACCCGCGACAGCATGGCGAAATGGGGCCAGGGCGATCCGCGCTGGATCGTGGAGGAGAGACCGGACGCGACCAATGTTAACAACTGGCACTGGTACGTTGACCAGTTTTAAGTCCATTCGACGAGGCACACACCTGGCGTGTTTGCCTGTCAAGTTTCCAAGTGTCGATAGCCTTCGTACGCTTCTTGACTAAAATTATGCTGCAGGACGGAGAAGAACGCCTGTGCGTGGTCGCAAGACAAGCTGAAAGAGCTGTTTGTTAATTCCACGATCGAGGGAGAGGGAGGTAACGCGTGTATTTTCTGGGAGGAGAAACATCGACGCGTTCTTACCGCCGTGTCCTTAAGTCTCGTTTAATTTGCAGCGCTGTGTAAAATAACGGAAATGGAAAAGTGTGAGGGCGAGGCGATAGCGAATAATAGAAAAGGGAAACTTATTGTCTTCTACGAATGGAATATCGTCCTTAAGTGGGTACTGGATGAGAAATCTGGTGACAACGTTGAGGGTAAAATTAATATTCCCAATCTCTCTGAAGAAAATGACATCAGCGAGGTAGATGTGAGTACTCCTGATTGAGTTGCCGCTTGCACAATTCATTATTAAATCAAATCATTGCAATCGGGCTGAAACTTTTGTTCCAAACTTGACTTTTCAATCGCTTCCTCTTCATATTTAATTGCGCGCGACTTTAAACAGTTGCATATTTTGTGATTCGTAGATTGAAATTACGTTAAAAGATAGCACGGATCAAGGGGAGAGAGTAAAACAATTCTTACATACCAAGGGGAAGGATACGATAAGAGAAAAGCTAAAGAAATACGTGTCTTCCCTGAAAGAAGGTGAGCTGGCGATTTGTTGATCCGTGATGTGAATCGCCCATTACATTTGCAAGAATGTAATGTAACGTTATTATGTAACCCGTCCCTTTTCATTCGCAGAATTTACGAAAGGAATGATACTGCCCAAGAAAGATAACGTAAAGGAAAATATTTCAAATATAACATCTGGTTTCGATGTCAAGGTACGTACGATGCGTTCGCGATGCGGAGAGACGTAGCGACCGTAACGATATTCTTAATTCTCTTTCAAGATGAAAATGAATGCCTCGGTGACACCAACGAACAATAATAAAACGGAGGGCCATAAAATCTCGACCACTACGATTAAGCAGAATGTTAAGTTTCAGTGCAGGGCGGAGGAGTTTTACAACGTTTTCTGCACGGTCGAGGTAATAATTGCACCGAGTCGTCTGAGGGAAAGCGCTATTGGTGCAGTCTAACTCGTTAGCCTACTTGTAACAAAGTCCTTAACTCCCGCAGATGGTGGAAGCCTTCACGAGCAACCCGGTGAAACTTGAGGCGAAGAAGAACGGCGAGTTCGCGCTTTTCCGCGGTAATATTCACGGCGAATTCTTAGACATTACGCCGACGAAGATCGTGCAAAAGTGGCGTTGCAAACAGTGGCCGTCCGAACACTTCAGCGTGGTGACGATCGATATTTGCGAGAAGAACGATCACACCGAGGTGAATTTAACGCAGACCGGCGTTCCGGTGAGGTGAGCTCGAGCGCGATGGCTTTTTGAATAAAACTTATCGTATTACTGACAAGCGGGCTAGAGATGATGTCGGAAACGTCGCGATTTTCAGCGAGGAGCTCTCTACGAAGGAGAATTGGGACAGGTATTACTGGGACCCCATAAAGCGGATCTTCGGCTTCGGGTACTTCATGTGATCTAAGTTCACTCTAATGGATATTTATTTATTGCTAAGTAGAATAATCGCGGGGGACCCGCGTGCAACCGCACGCGGTCGCGCGAGCGCTGCTTGACTTCTGCGGGAGCATAGAAGAAACTATGGCGCGATGGGAAGGAAGCGTACATACAGTGCAGATTCACTCTGTTCCCTCTTCGTATGTTTGGTATCGCCTTAAAAATTGAAATTAACGTCGCCGTGGTGCCGCGCGACACTCAATCACAAGTGACTTGTATGACTCTACCCCTATTAGATGTGTCTAATAAATAAGATAAGATCGAGACGATTTTCTGTTCTTTGCGTATGAGAATGACCGATGTATTTAGCAATTCGCAACGACGTCAACTCAGATGAACGGTCGAGTAAACATTTATAGCTGCCGTGAGCACCGCGTGTTCCTTCATTAAAAAAAAAAAACACAATGAACATGAACCAATAACGCAATCAGTCTTCTCATAAAAAGGAACGGACATTCTTTTATATAATAAAATAATAAAGTCGTTTTTCATCGCTCCGATGTTAATATCATTGCGTCCGACTCGTTCGAGCGCGCGGTCGCGCCCGCGTCCGTAAACAGATCGAACCGCCTCGAGATCCTCGCGGACCCCCTTTTACGCGCGGGGACAGGACCAATGTCCTCGGCAGCCAGGCGGACGGGAGCGGCATGAATGGGCAGATCCAGAGAGCACCAAATGCGCGCGCCTTCGAAAATCAAAATCAATGTAGTCCGCCGTCGTTCGCACCGGTCCCGCTCGGCCCGTTCGCACGCTCGCTCGCTCGCTCGCGCGCGCGGATTGCCCACGCCCTTAGTGCGCCTCGCGGTCCCAGCGCGAACGTTATCGGAGCGTAGTGCTGTTTGTCGGTTCCCTCTCTCCGCCTCTCTCGCGTTCCCCGTCTCCCTCGCTCGCGCGGTTGCACAAGCGCACATCGGGATGCATACATATGCCTGCCCTCCCCCCTTTACCCGAGTCTCCCCTCCTATATTTCTAATTCTGCTCTTTCTCTCTCTCTCTTTCCTCCGCCGAACGCCGTCCCTCCAGTCAATTGTCTCGCTTTCTTTCTTCCCGACTCGGTTTCTTCTCTTCTCGCTCGCATCCGTTGACCAACAAAATTGCGCAAGGAGAGAGAGAGAGAGGAAAGGGGGGAAAAAGCAGGGGTTAAATTGCCTCCCTCGACCAAGGAGCACCCACCAGCATCACCGCCACTATCATCACCACTACCATCGCGCAGTCAGTCTCGGCTCCGATCCCGCGCCAGCATCGTCGGGCGAGCTCGCGATTTACGCACCACATCCCTCCGTGTTTAACGGCGGCTCCTCTTACGCGCGGCTCCTGCACCCCTCTCGCTCCCGCCGCCCTCTCCCGCCCCCTCTCCCCCGCTCTGCACCCTTCGAACGGTGATCTCGATCTCCCTCGCTCAATCGCGCCCCCATCCCGCCACCCCCGTATCTCGCTCTCGCCCGACTCGCCCGACTCTCCGCCTCCCCCGGTCTCGCTCGGAGCACGCTCGGCCGCGGGTACGCGCGCGTCCCACCCCGAGAGCGCGTCGGGGCCGCGCGCTACACCATGCGTGTAACCGTTGACGCGTCGGTCAGTCGGTCGGCGACAGTCTAGCGGGGATCCCACGCGCACCGCGAGATCGTCGACGGCGACGACGACGACGACGGCGACGAGTGAGCGAGCGCGTCGAGTAACGGCGAGGAGAGCGGACGCACAGCCGCGGTAACCAGCGCCGACGGGAGGAGGAGAGGCCAGCGGCAGCGGGCAGCAGGAGCACCCCCCGTGCGTCATCGTCATCCTCGTCGGCCTCGCGATGACCGCGGGCCCGGAGCGGCGCTCGTCCTCCACCACGCGCGTACCCCGTCGCCGGTGATACGGGGGCACGCCGCGCGCGCGCGCCGATCTCACACGACAGACATGTGAGTGCGAGAGCGCCTTCTCTCACCACCCCGCTCCACCCTCTCAACCCCGTGCGCGCACCCTCCGCGGAGCTCGTCGCGAACGCTCTACGCGCGCGACTCGCGAGAGAGAGAGATCTCTCTCTCTCTCTCTCTTTCTCTCTCTCTCTCCCCGTGACGACCGGCCGCGCCGACGAGGGGTTGGTCGCTCGCTCGCTCTCGAGAGGGAGGATCGGCTCCTGTCTCTCGCCTCGCCTCGTTCGCGCATCGCCGCAGCCTCCACCGCCTCGCGCCAGGAATACCGAGAGGATGCGTGACGCACTCGACACGGGCGAGTATAGCTCGGGGGTGTAAAAGGTGGCAGCTCTCTCTCTCTCTCTTTCCACCCTCCCCCTCCCCATCTCTCTGCGCTTCTCCTTTTGTCCGTCTCTCCCGTCCGCCCTGCGTTGTCCCGTCGCTATCGCGGCGATTATCGGCCGGCATCGCGAGTCCCTCTCGGTGTGTGTGTGTGTGTATGTGTGTGTGTGTGTGTGTCGCCGCGAGAATCGGTGGAGATCGCGTCTCCGGTCGCGTTGGGCGGGTACGGCGTTACGGAGTCACGCTGCCGGACGAGCCACCCTACTTTCCTCCTCGGGGTGGTTTACTTTCTCGGGGACTACCCTGGGCTAGTCGCGTCGCGTCTCTCGCTCGCCTCGCCTCGCATCTGCCTCTCTCTCTCTCTCCCTCTCTCTCTCTCTTTCTCTTTCTCTCCCCGACGGCCCGCCCGCCGAGGAACCCTAAATAACGCGATTACGGGCGGGCACCCCCGCGTCCGCCGCGGGTCAACTCGATTTCGACGCGGATTCGGAATCGCAGCGCGCGCGGTTGCGTGCCCGTCGCGGAGGGAGGATGCTCTCGCGCAGTGCGGGGCCGCGTCCCGAGGATCATCCCCCTCGGGACGGCGAGTGTTCACCGAAAAGCAGTGCCCGCCGCCGCGTCCCTTAGGTGTGCCGCGCGCGATTTCGCAAAGTGGACCTTCCTGCGGGCGACTCGCTCGCCCGCGCTCGAGGGGCGCGTGCGGCACCCCCGCGATCGCGGGAGCAAGTCGCGCCGTGACCACGGCGAGAGGGTATAAACAGATCTACGCGGGTGAATCCTCGGCAGCGGCTCGACGAGGCAGCGCGGTGCTCCGCAACGGGAGGAGCAAACGTTGACCCAGAGTAAGAGATTTCGCCACGCCGATCCTTCGGAAGTGATCGCCCGCCCGCGCGCGGCGGCTCGCGGCTCGCGTAAACGTTGTGCGCGGCTTTACATTCATCAATCTTTTAGCACGGTTAAAAGAGAATCGATAGATTACGTGCAATCGCGGACAAATCGCGCACGGCGCGTGCACCGTGGCCACTTTGCGCGCTTGCTTGGGATGTATTTGATCAATTTCGACTTTGCCGTCGACCCGCAAAGTTTCCGCTCGCTATGCTATAATCTTGGCTTCGTTTATTTCAAACCGAGAGAGAGAGAGAGAGAGGGAGAGGGAGAGAGAGGGAAAGGGGAGAAACCGGGGCACGGTCTCCGCCTCGCTGATCCATTACACAATCGGCGACACGAATATATCGAAATCTCGTCGGGATCGCAGGTTGCGGGCAGCCACGCCGATTGTTTATCTATAAAAATGCACGCGGAGACTTTCCGCGTTATTGACGCGGGCCACGGTACGTGAGAGTTTTTCAGTACGCTGGGGGAGAACTCGCGAAAATAAAACCGACGGTGGACGACGGAAGGGGGTGAGGTATTGCTTTTCATTAAGATAACGCGTGTTCGATCGTTATTTTTCCGCGGCCGCGGCTCGCGTGTATCGCGCTTCTGGCTCACGCGTTTGTGCATGCGTGCGTGCTCGCTCGCTGGCGGGGAGGGGCATTTGTGTACACCGTTTAAGCTTCTGCACTCAGTTTATAAGCTAATAAAGTGATAGATAATTGGCGGTCTCTCGCTTCCCCCCCCCCCCTCTCTCTCTCTGTGTTGTAATTAGGGTGTTGTAATTAGCGAATTGTAATCTGCAACATCTCTCTGTATAATATCTTTGTCTAATATCTTAGTTTTTATATTCTATATACATTTTTCTCTATTCAAAGATCTTATTATACAAAAGCTCATTCTCACTCGTAATTATTTTTCTGCGCAGCTTGTCTAACGCTTTAGGGG